CGTGGTGACTGGTGTGGATTGGTATTTGGGGGGGGGGGGGCTCTGCAACTCACCTGTCTGCTTCTTGCTCCTTGTGACCCGGGGCTGCTGGGAGCAGGGGGCGGGGCTTGTTGCATGTGCCCACCCCCTGGGCTCTTTACTGCTGAAGCTTTGCTCCTGTGCACTCCTGCGGGAAATGACCCCTGCCCCAGGGGCTGCTTCCACTCTGCAGGAATGGCAGCAGCAGAAGGCCTGGGCCAAGGTCAAGTACTTGACTGGCTGCACACAACCCCATCCCAGAGCTAGGCGGTCAGCAATACTTCTTCACACGATCCTGCCCAAAGCACAGCACAGCCATTGGAGCTCTGGTAGCTGAGCTTGATTACCTCCCAGTCTACTTAGGCTGAGGCTTGGGAAAGCTGCCTTGCTGGATCAATCAGTCCACTAAGTACAAGTCCTGTGCTCCAGCTCTTTGCTCCAATCTATGTTCTTAAGTTGCGTGATTGAGGCCTGAAAGTACCACTCCAGAGGAGATCTGGTCTTCCTGCAGAGCGCAGGATACTCACACGGATGAATGGATAAGCAGGCTACTAACTTTTGTGGACCTTTAATTTATGAATTTTTTTTTTTTACAAAGAATCTTTGAAAATTAATACAGTTTAAATAAGAACCAAATGAACTGAAGTCCTACTTGCAATATGAAGAAATATGTCTAAGAGAGCCGGTGCCAAAACTGTAAACTAACCAAATTCTAAGCAAAAAGTAGCAGAGATACAGATAGGGCCAGCTGGGTATGTGACAACTGTCCCAAATGTTACTATACATATAATTAGTTGGATCCAGACTAAACTTTCTGCTAATGAAAGGGAAAATGCAATTTCTGCCAATTTCACCTTCCTGCTGCAGATTCCTGATTTGACCCTTGTGCCATTCCTGAGGATCTCCAGGCCCCCAGGAGCAGCATTTGTGGACAGCAGTGGGCTTCCGGGGGTGTGTGTGTTCTGTTCTGCTTATAGAAGTGCCTTCCATTAGTGGAAAATTTAGTATGGGTCCAGCCTATCATTTTGTATTTTACAAACAGATGAGTGGGATTTGAACCCAGGTCTCCATAATCTTAATTAAAACTATTCGCACAATTTAAAGTTACGTGTTGAATTCTTGATCCCTTAATCACTTCTGTATCTCTGCAGACTCTTTATCCTTCCATATATGAACCAGTGAAGCTCACTGACAGAGAAAAACCCATTTCTCTCTCAAAACGGTATCTGGTTAAAGCCCTTCTGTTTGCTATCCAAATGTCATGGATAATCAAAAAACAACTTTGGATATTTTTGATTTAATCTAGCAAGTAATTTCAAGCAAAATTTGTATTTTTTTTTCTCTTGAGCCTACTAAACTGCCAAGCTACCAAGTTTTAGCTGCCAAGTCTACTTTTATCACCCCTCCTCTCCCCTTAGTAGAAAAATGAGTACTGGCTTGGTTAGTGCAAGAAAACGAGAAGTCAGCCAAGAATGGTACGGTTTGCACTTGATGGGTTTTCTGGATACAGAGAATGTGGCACATCCACGGGTTCAAAACTTCAGAAATCCATCTGTACATCTGAAAAAAGAAAAGAGACAAATGGAATCTGTTTGAACTCAAGAATCTGAAATTACTAACATTTTGTGCAACAACTCACATTATTGTCATTGTTGGACATAATGGGAAAAATTTCAGGGTAAAAAAAATATACAGTTCGAAAAAGCCAGATGATGTCACCTAGAGCAGCTAGCAATAAATAATGTTTTTTCCATATGGCCCAGGCTAGCCTGATCTCGTCAGACCTTCGAAGCTAAGCAGGGTTGGCCCCGGCTAGTATTTGGATGGGAGACATCCAAGGAAAACCACAGTCGTGAGGCTGAGACAGGCAATGGTAAAAGATCTCCAAACATCTTTTGCCTTGAAAACCCTACGGGGTCACTACAGATCACCTATGACTTGATGGCACTTTCCACCACCAAGTGATCAGTGGCTCTAAAACAAGAGTTTACTTCTAGCTCTCATATTTTCTAGACCAGGGGTGTCGAACTCATTTGTTATGAGGGCCAGATCTGACATAAATGAGACCTTGTTGGGCCGGGCTGGGTGTGTCATAAAATGTAGTGCCAGGTAGCCACATTTATTCATTTACTGTGCAATCCTTAAGCAGTTGTACCTTTGTAAACCCACTAAAGTTCTCTTCTGTAGGAATGTCTGTTAGAGCATTTACTCCTCACCTTTATACTCCTCAAATCACTCAGAGCTGTTTATGATAAAATAAACTACACTCACTATAACAATCAAACATTTTAAAAAATCCATATTAGTTTAAAAAAGCAGGAACGCTACCTAATAAAACCGCATGGCAGTGATCTAAACACATAGTAGCACCTATATTCAAAATAATCTCACTGCAAGCAAAGCTTTTTTTTTGGGGGGGGGGAATCATGTAATTTCAAAGGCAATACAAAATAAGCAAGTTGTGCCAGATGACCAAGTGTGATAGGAGCAGGAGCAGAGGCGCTCTACAGTTTAAGAGTGAATATGCTGAAAAACCCACCAGAGGTGTCCGCTGCCTCTGATAATGCAGGTTGTCACTACAAGCCAACACTGGCTGATCTAATTCACGTGGCTAGACCCAAACGGCTTAGAATTTTAAAAATCAAAACCTGCACTTTGAATTGAGCTCAGAAACAAACTGGGAACTGGTACAGTTAGTACAGCATTTACATTTTTATTTTTTAGGAAAAAGCTATCGATGCTTTAGGTGCCACATTTTGTGTCTGCTGAAATTTCCAGACAGTCTTCAAGGGTGACTCCATCATGAGCTCTTTAAAGTAGTTCAGCCTGGATGTTACTAAGGGATGTGTATCACTGAGCAGGTCTACCCGCTCTGTATTTTGTCTTCGGGCCAAAGTTTTCCCAGCAGTTATACCTTTCTAAACCCACTGAAGTCCTCTTCTGTTTACCCAGCAGAAAATCCCTAGGAATCTGATGAGAATGATGGTACTACGGTGTACTTGGCCACCACCAAATATTAGCAGCCCTGAGTTGTGGCCCCCCCTTTGACTTGTACTACAGCTTCCCTGTGCATTTCCTTGCCCTGTGTGATTGACTGGTGCCAATGTGGGCAGCATAATAGACACAACAGAAATTGTATTATGTGTTGTATAGGGGGAAATGGAACTCAAGGTTGCTGTTTTTGATAGCATTTCTTAGAACACGCAGTTCCAACCCAAGTTTAATTCACAGAATATAACACACCAAGCTCCATCAATGGATATTAAAATAACTAGATGAAATTTTAAAAATCAAGGGCATTATGGAGTTGAGAAGTTGTTCAATAAAGCAAGCCTTTGTTGCTTTGAAAGGAAGCTGCTTGTGGGGACCCTGTTAGAATGATTCTGCACAGGCAACTGTGACTTGGGTACCATCATAGGCAGCACAGGGACAGAAAGTAGAGTCCAATGCATTTCTTCTGGCACAGCCCTTACCACTAGCCTTAGGACTTTCCTCTTTCTGAGATCTATCCATCTCCTCCAGGAACCGTTCAAAAACTTTCACATATGGAGCCAGACTGGTTTTCCTGTAATCTATAAGAGGATTTTTTTTCAGGAGGGAAAAAAATGACATCAGTTCAGTGTACAATGAACAGCCTGAATCATTTAAACAGAACAATAAAGTAACTATCTTATATAACCCACAGGGGCAGCCCTAGAGGAAGGTACCTTCTTGAAGCCGCTGCTTCCAAATGCTCAGAGAGGAGGGCAAATGTTATCCCAATCTTCAAATAGGGAGGGAGGAGGACCCAGGAAATTACAGGCCAGTCAGTCTGACCTCTGTCCCAGGGAAGATGCTGGAGCAGATTTTAAAGGGGTCAGTCTGTGAGCATCTGAAGGGCAACTTGGTGATCCGGGGAGGTCAGCACAGATTTGTCCCCAACAGGTCCTGTCAAACCAACCACACTTCTTTCTTTGATCAAGTGACAAGCTGACACTGTTTACCTGGATTTCAGCAAAGCCTTTGACAAGGGTTCCCTATGATGTTCAAGTGGGACTGGACTCTAGGACAGTTAGGTGGATAGGGAACTGGTTGGAGAATTGCACCCAAACAGCAGTTGTCAGTGGCATTTCTTCTGATTGGAGGGAAGTGTCCAGTGAGGTGCCACAGGGCTCAGTTCTGGGCCTGGTACTTTTCAATGTTTTTATAAATGATCTGGATTAGAGAGTGGAGGGACTACTCATTAAATTTGCAGATGACACCAAATTGGGAAGAGTAGCAAACAGACTGGAAGACAGAGATAGAATTCAACAAGATCTGAACACGCTGTAAAAGTGCAAGGATGTGAATAGGATGCAATTCAGCAAGGATAATTGCAGAATTCTACATCTGGGTAACAAAAATGAGAAGCACATGTACTGGATGGAGGACAGACTTCTAGGTGACCGTGTTTGTGAACAAGGCCTTGGGGTACAGGTGGACTGTAATTTAAAGGGCTAATGCCGTCTTGGGGTGTATCGACAGAGGCAAAACATCCAAATACAGCCCTGCTGTACACTACATTGGTCAGGCCACTCCTGGAATAGTGTTCTGGAGACTTCTCTTCAAAATGGATCTGGACAGAATGGAGCAGGTGCAGACGAGAACAACAAAGATGATCGGGAGCCTAGAGACCAAGCCCTACAAGGAAAGCCTGAGGGACTTGGGAATGTTCAGCCTGGAGAAGAGGAGGTTGAGGGAGGACATGATGATTACTCTCTAAGTATTTGAAAGGCTGTCACTTAAAGGAGGGCAGGGAGCTGTTCCTGTTGGCAGAGGAGGATAGGACTTGCAATAATGGCTTTACATTACGGGCGGAGATACCAGCTGGATATTAGGGAAAACTTTTTTACAGTAAAAGTAGTACAGCAGTGGAATCGGTTGCCTAGGGAGGTGGTGAGCTCCCACCCACTGGCAATCTTCAAACAGTGGTTGGATGAACACTTGTCAGAGATGCTTGACGGATCCTGCATTTAGCAGAGGGTTGGCCTCTATGGACCCTTCCAACTCCATGATTCCATGATTCCCAAACCTCGGGTGAATTTTTATTCTGCTGATACTTGGGGAAAGATCCTGAGTTCCTCAACAAACCGACAGAAAACTTTATGTGAAGCAGGTGGCATTGGCAATGTTGTAAGTGTGGGCAACCCAAAATGGCGGCCAAGATCTTACAAAGTAGCTTTTCAAGATCTTAGCATTCTGCATCTTTTTCATTCAATTATAAACTGGATGTACATTTTAATAGTATAGTATGGCAGATTCGTATTGTATCCTATTTTAGTACTCTGTTGTATCCTATTGTATTGTATCCTATTTTTTATCTGGTCTATGACTGTTCTAACAACAAAAAAAGCATCTTTTTAAAACTGCACATTGTGTTGTTTTGGATCCCTCCTTATGTTTTCCTGCAAAAACGCTGCTCTAACTCTGAGTGCCCCTCCCCCCAGTAGATTTTTTAAAATCGCACTGGGGGAGGGAACATCTATGGGGAGGGGATGCCTATGTCTATTAGATATATGAGAGATAGAAAGGAGTCTTTAGAGTAGAAAGGCGTGTTTAGACTGCATGGACAACATCTGCTTAATTCTCAGAAACCCCAGATAAGATATTCATTGGTCAGATGGTAGTTTTGATGCCCTGCATAGCTCCTCATCCCTCCCCATGACTAGCAGAACTGGCAACTGTGAAGATTTTTCATAATTTGTATAGGGAACAAACACTGATGCAGAATTTTGGATTTTCTGGGTGCAGAACTTTTTTACTTTATTTAGTATTTAATACACACATCCCTGATAACAATAAAGAAAATCAGAGCAATCAGGTTGGAGATTTCTCAGGGCCTTTGGCACCTACCTCTATTCCTGCGAGGGCTCTCTAGCTCCCCTTCATTTTGCTCTTCATCCCCCCGATCGTTGCCAGTTTTATCCAGTTCATGACAGAGCTGGCTAAAAACAGTAAAAAAAGAAAGGAAATTCACAAAGTTGGCTTAAGGTCATTCATTGTTGTAAGATGACATTCGATGTACTTCTGTACAATGCAGTGATAAAAATTGGTAGCAGCAGATGGGCATTATACTGCTGAGGAGCCTACGGTTAGTAATTATCCCTTTCTGTCAAAAAACTGCTCAGAATCACCACATATGGCATGCTTTCCCATCAGACAGCACACACAGCACTGGCAATTTTGGGCAGGACGGCTACACATTGCCTCTGTGTTGACACTGCTGTTGAGATGTACTGAAGACATACAACAATGCTACAGTTCTGTGCCAGGAACCTGCAAACTTACTGGAGCAACTTGTATGCTAGATGTATGCAACATCCTATGAACTGCTGTTCTCTGTTTTGAAAGTCTGACAAACCACTCAAGCCATCCTTTGGGACTAAATTCTTATTCAGATCCATAAAGATCTCAATAACAAATTGCAGGAAGGGCAGGATTTAGACATGCTGAGGATGCAAGCTATGTCAAGTTTTAAGAGGCTTCATAGCATTACCCCAAAAGTGTATTATTCTAACACTGAAATTTCATATTTTTTTTAATATTTAGAGGCCCTAAACTACAGCTTAATTAGCTTGTGCTAATCCAGCGCTGATCAACCTAAAAACTGTATTTTCACTGCCTGTGTGATGGAGAGCAGACAGATTTGTAGTGACTGCTCAGAAATTAAGGCCAGCTTTGTGAATTGTAAAGCTGTAATATAAAGCATCTGATTTATGATATTCTTTCATTAATTCATGTCAGAAAATGTTCTGTAACGCCTAAGTAGGACATGGGCTGTGGCTCACTGACAGGACCTCTGCTTTGCATGCAGAAGTTCCCAGGTTCAATTCCGGCATCTTCAGTTTCAAGGCTTAGGCATTGGGTGATGTAAAAGATCTCTCCTAAGATCCTGGAGAGCTGCTACCAGCCTGAGTAGATTGTACTTTCCTTGATAAAACCAGTGATCTGACACAGCGTAAGGTGGCTTCATGAGTTCATATATGTGTTCAAACAATAAGTACAGGAACACAGAATTCATCGAGTAACATCAGAGGCCCACATAACCATGCTAACTAAAGGAAAGTCCTCATACTTCTTTATCTGTTTGTGTTGCTGAACCTCACAGCCAAGTTTCATCTCATTTGGTCTTTTCTCTCTCCCTCTGCAGTCCATCTCAGTTCTCTTCCTTCATTTTCTTTTTATTTTGGGGGGCATCTCTTTTTCTCCACTCTCCCCCTTTTTAAATTTTTCCTGCTCCCCTTTGCTGCGTCCCAGGCACAGGCTGGCCATGCATCACGATTGGCAGCAACTGGGGAAAACAACCAGTAGCAACTCCACTGCAGACCCCTGAATCCAGCAGGCAGGCATTCTGCATTACTCATTGCTGTTAGCTGAAGGGCCTGTGGCAGGTCTTTAGCCAAGTGTCTATGTAGCTACTGCCCTTTAAAAGAAGAAACAATCTGGCAGTAACCAGCTGTCAAGGCTGACCCTACCTTGGTGTGGTAATGTAACCAAACCTAGGCCTGGGTACGTTCAGATCACTCCCCAGTAGCTCACAGGAAAATGAAGCAAAAAAAGCTTTATTAAAGAAATCCAAGAAAAGTTATTAAAAGCAAAGCATATAGTTCAGTGCAGTCATAATGCACATAAAATAACAAAGCTAGCTGACTGTGCTACTTAGTTATCCTAAGAGCAGCAATGCCGGTTGTTACAGCTGTTCCAGAACTTACAGAGTATCTTCAGGCAAGGGTAGCGGGTGGAGGAAAGAGGATAAGGGAAAAAGGGGAATGTTCTCTGGGTCCAGCCTACCTGAGGGACCGCCTTTCCCCGTATGTTCCCCCAAGAGCACTACGGTCTGGGGCCCGAAATTTACTAACTGTACCGGGCCCCAAAGATGCCAAATTGGCCGTCACGAGGGCTAGGGCTTTTTCGGTGGCGGCCCCTGCCTGGTAGAACGAACTCCCGGAGGAGATCCGGGCCCTGCGGGACCTGATGCAGTTCCGCAGGGCCTGCAAGATGGAGCTCTTCCACCAGGCTTTTGGTTAGGGGCTGCCGCCACCCCCCCCCTGTTATATTGCCATCATGGGGGGGGGGGGTGAGCACTTTATAGTACTGAAATGGTTTTAAATTGTATAACGTGTTTTAAATGTTACTAAATTATTTTGATGTTTTATCACTGCAAGATTTCTTGCCATGTAAGCCGCCCTGAGCCCTATGGGGGAGGGCGGGATATAAGTTTAACAAATAAAAATAAATAAATAAATAAATAAATACTATAGTCTTTATAATAGACATTGCCGTCCATAACATCCTGACCTTCCCAACCAATCACAGGACTGTCTCTATGGAGCTTTCTGGGGTGAGAGTGAGCTCCCCCTCCCATACCAGATTCACAACTGAATAACAGAGTCTCAGGATGCCCTTGGGTGAGTAAAGGGGGGGGGGAGTTAGTTGACATCTGCAGTTTTAGCTGGAATTTAAGATAGCTTCTCTCTTGACACTGCCTATTACTACTCTTGTGTTATAGACTGTATCTGAGTTCAAACCATGACACTAGCTTTGCAGTCCTAGCTTACCTTGCAAGTAGACAAAAACAAAGAAAGGACATACAAGAGGCAACATGCACTCCCAAAGGCAAATGTTCCATACCTTATAGTGGGAACAGCAAATGGATCAAAGCTATCCAGTTTCTGCAAGTCAATTGGAACCGAAATACGACCTGGAAGAGGCAAAAAGAATCATTCTCTCGACTTCCCTTGCCAGAGACCTCACTGGTAAAAGTGCCCTTCCAAAGGCAGAAAACAGACACACCCCTCTCCCGGCGAAATAGCACTTTGCCCTCCATGCTTTTTCTGATCCCCAGAAACAGAAGTTCAGGAGGGTGGGACTGGGGAAGGGGAAAGTCCCATTCTACAAGTTTTGCTGTGCTCACAACCTTTTGGAAGCAACCCACTGTTTTGGCTCAGTGGCAATCTACTTTACATGCAGAAGGTCCCCAGTACAATCCCCAGCATCTCCAGTTATAAGGATCAGGTACTAAGTGATGCAAAAGACCTCTGCCTCAGACCCTTGACAGCTACTGTCAGTCAGAACAGACAACACTGACTCCATATAAGGCAGCTTCATGTGCGTTCAGAAAAGTTAAATTCCATCCCAAACTAGAACAGCTAATAATCTCATGTTCTTTTTACATCTTCAAGCATTTTCACTTTCACTTAAGTCAATTCTTAATATTTTATTTTCATTTCCTATCACAGTAGCCCAACAAGGCCAAAATGCCTTTTAAAAGACAGAAGTGTGACTTCTGCCCCACTAATTATTCTCTTGACAAAAATCTGCCCTCAACCATAGTGCAACTCTGTGCAGATACTCCAGTCTAAGCCTATTTAAATCAATAACCTCAAATTGGAATAACAGTCCATAAGACTGCCATCAGGCAACTCAATCCTAAAGTATTAAAAGTTTGCAGTCCTGTTATATATGAACATATAATTAAGTTTCTTTACTAAAACGAATAATATATAGCATGATTTCAGCATTTTCTGCCCAAATCTGAAGACACTGGTTATTACATTATCAATAATCTTATATGCCATTTACTCTGCACTACGACCACTAACACATGGCTTGCTTGCCGTGACATGGATACTTTTGGGAAGCCATGTGAATTGTATGAAGGTTCTTATGAAGATTCTTGCCATTTGTCACTTTTGTCTCGGATTTAAAACAAGATATACAAACACAGTGATCGCAACTCTTTTGGTTACCAGTAGATACAGTTCCATATGCTTTTGAAAGACATTGTGTTATTAATCAAAATCTGTATTCTGCCCTTATTTATTCTAAAGAGATCAAAGCAATGTGTATGGAAGTATCCCATTTTATCCTCACAACAGTCTTGTGAGGCAGATCAGACTGATAGTCACTGACCCAGTGTTACCCACTGAGCTTCATGGCTGAGTTGGGTATCTAAAAGTGCAACCAAATGCAGAGTTACTCCAACCTAAACCCATTTCTTTCTTTCTTTCTTTTTTTAACTGTTTATTTATTATTTTCATATTTCATGATAACATCGATTTACATTTATTATACTTGTGAGTCTTATTTATGTACATTGTCTAGCCATGCATAAAACTTTTTCCATCGCTTTTCAAATATTTCTTTGTTTTCCCTTTGTATTCTTAAATTTAATCTATCCATTTCCATTACTGACAACATCTTATCAATTATATCTTTTTTGAAGGTATTTTCTCTTCCTTCCATGCCTTAGCTAATAACATTCTTGCTGCAGTAAAAAAGTATATAATTAGGTATTTGTCTGTATTACTGAACGAATCTGAAACTATATTTAATAAAGCAATCTGTGGTTCAAATGGTATTTGTATTCCCGTAATTTCCTTTAACATTCTGTATACTTTTTCCCAATATTTTTGTACTTTCTTACACCTCCACTACATATGCATATATGTGCCGACGTTTTTTTTACATTTCCAGCAATTCCTGTTAGAATTTCCGTAGCATTTTGCTAATTTCTCTGGTGTCCAGTGCCACCTGTAAAACATCTTATAAATGTTCTCTTTATAAGGAATTGCACGCATTAATTTTATTGATTTCCATACTTTTGTCCATTGTTCTGCCTCTAGCGTCTGCTGTAAATCTTTTGACCATGTGACCAGCCTAAACCCATTTCTTTCAATGAACTTAGACTGGAGTAACTCTGCATAGGATTGCACTATATACTCCCTGATCCAAGTTTTGCACTATACTACATTAAATCTCTATCTTTGCCAAAGGAAGTTGTAGCATCATGAAACTAACCTGTTTTCGGGTGAACACTGAAGGGGCTCTTCAGTAAATGGTTGATTCCTTTGCTAACATTAATATCCAGTCGGGGAAAGCAGTACTGCAACATGATCTCCCACGGTGCTTTCTTGAAAAGGAAAGATTGCAACCAGATCACCTTTTGGAGGTATGCATCTACATCTTTGCCATAAGTAGGTTACTCATTATGCAGAATGAGCTGTGCCATTATACCATTCAAGAGGAAATTCTGTGACTGCAAAGCCAAAAGCAACAGTTTTACAAAAGACTTTGAAAGAGCTTCAGTGGACAGTGCTGAGAAGATCCACTTGCGTGGAGATGGTCAAAGTTGGCCTGTGGTCCATGATTAGTTTCCCAAGATGGACTTTGGCCCACAAGATGCATTCTGGAATGCGGTTCTAGGTAGCATGTTGGGTCTTTATTAGGGAAGCTGCTTGCTTCTGCAACTTTAATCTGGTCCCTACATTTGGGTGGCTAGCCTCCATCCATACCCACCTCAGCACACTCCTAGCCTTTTCAATTAGGAAGCAGAGCTGACTCCAGAAAATGGAGAGGGAAGGCCCCTCTGCCTGCTCCAAAAGTGATGCCCTTCTCATCCAGCAAAGAAACCCAGAGGCAGAGTTTAGAAGGTTCTTGGTTTACAAACCCAACCCTCTTCTGGGCTAAAGATTGTCTTGTCCAAAGCCCCCTAAATCCTGAAGCTGGGATTTGTCTATATCTATCCTGGGAGCTACAATTCTCCTCCTGTGAAGAATGAAGAGTCTCATGGTAAGCTAAGCTTACTGTTAAAGCTTACTGCTCCACAGGTTACAGAAACTAATCATCCAATGAACCACCAGTTAGAACGCAGCTGTCAATCTCTACACCAGGAAGTGAAACCTTTTACTTCCCCCTGTGCCGCCCTGTCCTTGTCATCCAGTACTGACACACACACACACCACTCACAAACTTCCTGAGAGACACATTCCCCCCCAGCCCCATTACTTACACTGAACTTTTCTGTCTTGGTTTTCAAAAGCTCCCAGCGCTGGATTGAATTCCGCTTTTTACAGAATTCCTTCTGCAGTGTCTCTCGAACTGGTAGCCAAGTTGTTAAGGAGACTGGTTTAAGATATTTTGTACCTGAGGCTGAAAGCCAAATACCGTCCTCATGTCTTTTAAACCTACTTGCTATCTCGAGTTCTGTCCTACTGTTATTTTCAAGTTAATGCATTTAAATAACACAACTTTTTTGTATGTGCAATTTGTTTTTGATCTGTGTTGAGTTTAATCACAATGGGAGGCAGGTTTTTAGAGGGGGTTGGCTGGCGGTATATTATTCATTCTTAAGCACTAGTAATGTTTTTCTGTTGTTGTTCAGTTGCACAGTTGTGTCCAACTCTTCGCAACCCCATGTTGTTAAGGAGACTGGTTTAAGATATTTTGTACCTGAGGCTGAAAGCCAAATACCGTCCTCATGTCTTTTAAACCTACTTGCTATCTCGAGTTCTGTCCTACTGTTATTTTCAAGTTAATGCATTTAAATAACACAACTTTTTTGTATGTGCAATTTGTTTTTGATCTGTGTTGAGTTTAATCACAATGGGAGGCAGGTTTTTAGAGAGGATTGGCTGGCGGTATATTATTCATTCTTAAGCACTAGTAATGTTTTTCTGTTGTTGTTCAGTTGCACAGTCGTGTCCAACTCTTCGCAACCCCATGGACCACATCACGCCAGGCCCTCCTGTCCTCCACCGCACTCCAGAGTCTGCTCAATTCCATGTTTTTCTAGTAGCATACATTTTCAAATATACCCCCAACAAAAGATTTCCCCCCCCCCAGATTGCATTGGGGATTTTTTACAGCACACTTTTAACAAAAAGTTAATTTCGTTAAGCACTTTTACAATTTTTTTTGGCTTTGCCATTTTTTCTGATGTTTGATGTGTGTGTCCCCCCTTCCATTGCTAACCACTCCCCTCACATCAACATAACACGAGACTCAGCTCACATTCATTTCAGGGAGGCCAGAACAGGAGAATTCTTTGGTCCACACCCCAGATAACTAGCCAGACATTCTAAATTCTGTTCCACATCAGCAGCTACCTGATTGCATGCGGTGCATTAGTTATGTTCTTTGGACACTTCCCTATGTAAAATTCCCCCTGCAAATAGAAAATTAGGACATAAATGGAATAGGCTGGGCTCAAACCCCACAGATATATTATTTTTCGGCTTTTTAAATTTTTCCTGGAGTGTTGTTGTTTTTTTTAATAAGATCACAGTGGTACATTCCACTCTACTGCCTTTGGATTCTGCCACTGCATTTTGCTCCGTGTATAGACCAGACCTCAGACTTTGAGAAACCTTGAGTCTCAGTCAAAACTTAGGATGCCCACAAGGTTTCCTAAGAGCCATGCAGAAGCATCTTCCTGACTCATGTACCAACTTAGGTGCCCATCACCATCTTTTTAAAGGTGCCTTAATCTATTTATGAGCAGGATACCAATAGCTCACTCAAAACCATTCTTCCTAGTGAGTTCCATGCTCCCCTGCCTTTCAGAGTACCTCGATAGGATATATTCTGGGACCAGAGCCAGCACTTTATCGTAGCTCTCTTTATTTCCAAGTATGTCCTGACCCACAAGGGCATATTCTTCAAAGTATTCCTTCACCACATTTAGTGACTCCCTAAAAAGAAGAGGGAAAATATCAGTAACACACCTGGGACTCCCAAACTTTTAACTCTTTGCAGAAGAGGGAAATCTGCTAGTCATGCAGAGGTGAGAAAAGCTGCACTCATTGAAATTCCCTCCCTGGCATTTCATTTGCTCAGAAGTCTAAATTGAAGCAAAGGGCCGTTTTCTTAGTTGACCCATTTCAACACTGTGAGAATGTGGAAGGCTTTTAATACTCAATTACTGCCAGGCATTTTCTCACCTGCAAATCAGAAGCAGAACAACACCCACGGGTGCATGAACTACAGGTGTCCTTCTGGGCTACCAGGACAAGCCAAAGAGCTCCATCAATCTTTCCCCCGGAAAGTAGACACCGTTCTTGTTCAAGACTCAGTGGCAAAGCAAGTTGCTACCAAAGGCAGCCTCCCTTTGACATCCATGGCGCCAACTTGTGTTCTCTTCTCCATCAGATACGCACAAAGCATCATAGCCCTTTTCAAGCATAACTTAAAGATCTACATAAAAACTGAGGATGCCTCCCTGAGCTCACACATGCCCCACTGTCTTCCATTGTCTCATTAACTGACCTGATGAATGGATGAATGGGGTCAGAGAGGATCACCTTCTTGATGGTCTCCTCACCACCCTACAGAAAGATTAAAGAACGTGCAAAAGTTAACCTAGGATTTCATGCTCGCTTTCCTATTCAGAACCGGGAGTATCCTGGCAGTAGAACACTGAATCCCAAAGGGTCAGAGTGTGGCACTAGATTCTCTGTTCTTCTGCCTGACCTGCAGTTTCCCCCATTCTTTTCAAGGCTGCTCTTTCTGGAGCATTCAAAGCTTAAATCCACATCAAAGCTGACATGACCTCATTCCCATTGACTCAGTGAAATAAGGAGGAACTAAGCTATCACTACAGCACCATAGCTAAAAGCAAGGTCAAGACCAGGCCTGGCAGTGGTAATATATTCCATTATGTTGGCCTTGGACATTTACTGATGATATGGGCTGTGTCTAAAGCATATGAAAAAAAAATCAAAGGAAAAATCATTAAGATGTGGCATTATTTAACAGAAAGGTTCCAATTCCCAACACGGTTCAAGATCTTCATCAGAGGAAGTTGTTCCAACAGTATGGCTAACACTTTCACATCTGGTGAAACTTGTATACACACCAGCCAAATTTGGAGATGCGGCCCCTCAACAGGAGATGCAAGGAGTCTGCCTGTCAAGCAGATTCCCATTAAAAGCTTGACTCACATTGGAAGTTTTCAATTAATAATGCTGCACGTAGTTGGCTTTGCCTTTCTGTATTTTTTCTAGGCTTGAGCATAATTACAGTAAGAGTAAAACAAAGTTTGAATCCAGTGGCACCTTTAAGACCAACAAAAGTTTTATTCAAGGTATAAGCTTTCATGTGCATGCACACTTCAGATAAAAGTAGTTCAGCAGCGGAATCAGCTGCCTAGATAGGTGGTGAGCTTCCCCTCACTGGTTGTCTTCAAACAGCAGCCGGATGAACACTTGTCAGGGATGCTGACAAGTGTTGAACTAAATGGCCTGTATGGCCCCTTCCAACTCTTATAATTTTATAATTCTATGGATTCTCCCCTCCTTCTTTTTGACTGCTAAAGCACAGGACAGCTAGATGCAAAAGATAATAGAGCTCCCATAGCAGTGATTTTTTAAAAAAATTGATCCAGGCACCTGCCAAAATTCTTTCTTCTGTAGGACTATTAAAAGCACAGGAGCCCTGCCTATTACAGTATCTGGGCACCTTAATATAGAGTCTAGCATTCACGACTGACCAAACAATCCCAATTGCTTGGAAATTGAATTAAACCTTTCATTTGTATTTGGTTATGACAGGCTAAGCTACAAAACAAAGGGTATAAACTCTTTTGTTTTATATGCAGAGGACAGAGATGATGCCTACACAGATGCTTTTTTACAGTGCTTTGTACAGTAAAATGCAGGGCTACCTTCCATGTTGCAAACAGGTATGAGATGGGCTCATGCCACAACTGTGCTAGTTCAGTGAATTGATCCACATAACCTGTGGATTTTGGGCTAACACATACAGCTGTTTCAAGGTCTTGTGGGCCTTCTCTACACTTCTTAAAAAGTTTAGCCTGCTTTTAAATTAGATGATAGTTCTATTGTTAACTATGAGCCATCATAGCAGAATGGCACCTTCAGACTGAGAATGTTTGTGATCATCAGATGCTGGGGAGCCGTCGACAGGTGAGGGCTGTTACCAGTAGGCCTTCCTTGCGGACTTCCCTGTGGCATCTGACTGGCCATTGTCAGAAACAGGAAGCTGAAGTACATGGGTCAGTGGTCTGAATCATCATGACTATCCTCATGCTCATAAAATATCTCTAGCAATAGGTCTACAATTACCAAATGAATGTACCAAGATAAATTCCTGTTCCAATTCCTTATTTCCTGCTGCAGTACCCAAAGATCAGTTCCACTCACAGCAGTGTGCTCTGCCCAGCTTCATTCTTAATAAATGATTGGATATGATGACCAATCAGCTTTGCAAACTGTGGAACATCAATCTCCCCCTCCCCAATCAAATTCCAGCTCCCTCCTTCCTGAAAGTACCACACCTTGACCAGAGTTAGATATTCCACTGCTGCAGAGCGGAGAGTTGTGGACCACTTCCTGACGGAATCATCACACACCCAGCAATGAACACCTCTACGTCCCGAGTACACCCAGAGGCGGTGCTTGATTCCGAAGTCCTCTGGAGGTGCAAGAGGGAAAGAGCAGAAAGCACAAACTGAGCATGTACTTCAGCATTTACAGTATATAGTGTTCGAGGCATCTTCACTGCACTTCACATACATTTTCTCAATAATTCTTACAACAACCATGTAAGGTAGGTTAGCATTATTGATGCCATATTGCAGATGGATGGGGCCAGGCTGAGAGAATAATGGCTTACCAAAGGCTACCTAGTAAACTCACGACTAAGGAGAGACTGGAACCTACAACCTCCTGGCTCTTAGTCCTCATTCATTGCCCCTACACTACACCAGCTCCTTCGCTGGTATTAATAATATGCATACGGATACTAGTGTCAGCAACTAATAAATACTAAAATACTGAAGCATAGCAACATAAAATACACAACTATTTCACCATGTGGTATTAACTGCTACAAAGTAGACTAAGGGACAGAGGGAAGGAAACCATGCAATTGTTTACAAATCTGCAGAGAAGAGACAGCAATCTGTAGCTATCTATTTGTTTTTATTGCACCCTTCCCCCAAGTAGCTCAGGACAAAATACATGACTCCTCTTCATCCCTACAACAGCCCTGTCAGGTAGGTCAGGTTGAGTGTGTGTGACTGACCCAAGGTCATCCAGCAACCTTTATGACAAAGTATGTTTCTAACCCAGATCTCCCAGGTTGTAGTGTAACATTCTAACTAACCACTACACCACTTTGGTCTGCAGAAAGAGGTTTAGGCCTAATCATAGTACCAAAGCAGAAAGAGATGCAAAAGGGAGACAGGGAGGCCACAAAATAGGGGGAAAGGTAGGCTGGATACACATCTACCCCAGATTAAGGGGCAGGTGAGAGGGATGGGTTCGGTGCCCTCCAAGAAAACCATTCCAGTCTTATACTTCCTTTTCTGTACACAGCTGCAAGTTTTCAGGACTACAGAAAGCAGCATCAGCATAGGAAAAAACAGCTGTCTACATTCTCAGATCACAAATTAAGCCCTTTCCTTTACACAACAACTTCCCTGTAAAGCATCAGAACACATGGATGAAATAAGACACTGCACTGAATAAGAAAGTATAATAATGAAAATGCCCCCACGCCACACAGAGGAACAATATGGTTGAATGTTTGTGTGTTGGACAACGAAGGCCAGGGGTTTAATCCCCATTGACTGTGAAGCTCTCTCAGTGACCCTGGACCCATCATCCTCACTTAGACTCACCTAACTCCCAAGATTGTTGGAAGGATGAAAAATAGGAGCAGGAGTCATTAATGCTGTTCTGAGCTCCTTGGATAAAAAGTGCGGTACAACTTTAGACAGAAAGATTCTGGAAGACACTCAGATTCTGGTTCTGGTGAATTTCCATGGGAAGGCTTACTGAAGCAAGCAGTCCAACAGCAGCCACTGTGTGCCCTAAGCCACTTACCCACAAGTGCCCGGTCTATAATGCGGATGGCTAGAGTCATGAGAGTCCAGCATTTGGAGCAGATCTCGGCAGATCTCGAGAGAGAGAGAGCAAGAGAGAAAACAGTTAAGTCTCACTCCATTTACTTGTCATAAAGGATTGCTATCACACCTGGCCCGCCATTCAAAGCAGCTTGCAAGAAAAGTCACCATGTAATGGCAGATACCTCAAATAACAACAAAACAATTCTACCAAGGCAGGCAGAGAAGAAAACAGAAGAAGCACTAAATTAAAGATGGCAGCAAAAACACAAACCTCTTTCCCTTTTCAGCTATCAGATGCTGTTGAGACAAGGTAGACTTTGCTTATTTGATGACTAGCAAGGAGGGACACACATGACCCTCAGCAGGGAGGCTGTTTCACAACCCCATGACTGTTTCCCCTCTGCAAGCTTTGTTTCTTTAGACGACAGTTTGACCAGGGCCCTAACCTCAATTGGTTAGGGAAGACAAGATAGTCTCATGCAGATAAAGAGTGGCATGGTGGCTTTTTGAAATGGCATCCACTCATGTAGGAGATGGTCTGTGTTACTGTGCAGCAGCCTACCACATGAGATATTTCCATGCCACTCCAAAATATTCCTGCCAGCACTTCTGGTGCTCTGGAACCAAATAACATGACAGAGATTGACCTGCAAGGGACACAGATCTAAATATATACCACCTCCAGCATACTGCATTTTGGTCACAGGAAGCAGTCTGAGATAGATCACAAAGCCATATTCTGTGAGACAGGACAGGGCAAAGGAAAATGGAGGACAGAGGGGAATACAAAATCCTTAAATTATTTGGCTGAAGGCTTGGAATGAACAAAAACAAGTATTCTTTCACGCCATAACTTATACAATTCAAGCTGCAATCCTACTCACTCTAGTTTGGCAGCAAGTCCCACTGAACCCAGTGAGACTTCCTTCCAAGTAAACATGCCTAGGATTGTCACAAGAATCAACTGTTTTAAGCAATGCACTGGATAGCAAAAGGGGAGGTCCACTCATTCCTATCAGTTATGGTATTATGGCTTTCTGGAATTAAAAACAATGAACTGAAAATTACTTGTAAGCTGCCTTTTCATATAGCAAAACAGCAGCCTTGAGGGTTTAACAATTAAATAAATGATAGTTAGGAAGGAAATGTTGCCAACCAAAACTGTGAGACCCCTGCCCTCCCCTCTTGATGAGACCCTCAATTTGATCCCCAGTCTCCTCTTAGCTGCTTTGAAGGGCACCCCTTTAAAGGCTAAGTGAGGTGGGGATCCCTAGGATGAGTCTCAGAATGTACACCTGGTCTACCATGACCAAGGCACATTCTACATACCCCCAGCTCCAAGAAATGCATACTGTAAGCATATCCCTTGCTTCAACAAATGATTAATCAAAGCAATATAAATCATTTCCAGTTAATGGTCAACACTGAAGTGTTACCTCCGATCCAACCAATCAAAGCAGCCTAACATCTGATCCACTCAGAGTGAGCCATCAAGGGGACAGTATTATACTGTTTCCTACCCGGTTCTTTTTAATGTGCTAAACCTAGCCAATGATCATCCCACCTTGGAATATTAAATGTCATCTCCTCATCTTCCTGCCAGATTTGGGCAGCAAGTATCTTCAAACTGCCCAGTCAAACTCAAACTTCATTTCTTGGACCAGTCCCAATCCTGGGCAAGTGGGGTCCCATGTACAGCTATGGGCTCTTCCCCATATAAGGACAGCCCAGGTCAGTGAAATGTGTGCCAAGTTCTCTGACTACCTGGATACCCCTGCAACTGCTCTGCAGGCTCTTCTCCCTCTCTCCTCAATATTCTGCTGCCTTGGACTTCTGCTGCATGGACTCCCCACAGTTCTCAGCCCCACACATACCTTGTATCAGGTAGTATCACCCATCTGAACACCCTTTCTTCCCTTGTCTCATCCCTCATCCTTACCCCTATCCGCAAAGTGTGTGTACTTGGGTGCACGTATTTGGGAAGGAGAGGGTGGTTTATTTTGTTTTACTATGGTTTATTGTGGTCTAAGTTTGGGTTTATAGCAGTGTGATTGACTGCTAGTGAATAAAGACTTCGTTTAATTTGAATTGGTTGATTTTTGTTACTTTTTATCTGGGAACATTGCTCTGGAATAAAACCTCCAAATACACAGATAAAAGATCCCTTGTTTATCTGTCTGGAAACCCAGTAACAGGGTAATTCTCCCCCTCCCCTGGGTCCAGTTTGGGTAACAAAATGGGAAGGCGTTTGTCATCTTGTTCCCCCGGGGAACAGAGCATTTGGCTTACACATTCTTCCAAGCTGCAAGAAAACAGGCTCCCTGAACAACAAAGAATCCTTGAGACCCCTATCTGGCATACTATTAGGTATCAGAAACTACCCGTGTACAAAAATACAGGGCACAAATAAATAATAAAGATCTAACACAAGTTGCTAGTCCTCAAGCACTGCAAGGTATCAAAATGTAATAATGTCTTGTGAAGCCTAGAAAGTGAAGCTGAGAAGGATTAATACTCTACACACCTTCCTTTTCAGATTTCAGGACCACAATATCCTACGAAAGCAGGCTGCCTACCTCCACATCACTAATCCAGATAAGAAATAAAAATACCTGCAGCATTGTCTGACATCATCGTAATCTGTCATGTCTATGTCAAACACAAGTTCCTTTTCCTGAGCCTGGAAGGCTCCCATGTGCACTGTGTTGTGTTGGATAGGCTGCAGAGAGGAAAATCAGAAAGAATATCACTTAATCGATAACTGATTACAAGCATTTAGATTTCAGTTTTGTTGTTTCACAACAGTAACAAAGTCTGACAATTATTTGATAATATTTCACTGTATTTGAGCTGTCAATGGTCCAATTTTTTTTTAAGTAATTCAAATGGACAACACTTCATGAAGGAACATTTTGCAAGTTCAGGAAACTTGTCATTTTTAGCCTGGAGACACCAATGAGAATATCTCTGCCCAATATCTCCCCAGTAAGCCAACGGCTCTCCTGCCAACCTAGCAGTTCGAAAGCAAGAAATTGCAAATAGATAAATAGGTACCACTTCGGTGGGAAGGCAACAGCGTTCCGTGCGCCTTGGTGTTTAGTCATGCCGGCCACATGACCACAGAAACGTCTTCGGACAGCGCTGGCTCTTCGGCTTTGAAACGGAGATGAGCACCGCAACCCTAGAGTCGGATTCGACTGGCTTTCTAGCAAGGGAACCTTTACCTTTACCTTTAAGGAAACGACTGTCAGACTCTGTTCTTCCTAGCCGTAAAATGGGTATAATAGATTGTGTGATGAATAACTAATGTTGCAAGAAGGTACCTGCTAATGGCAGTACTACTATCTACATCATATATCTAATTCCGAACAGGGCCATAGAGTTTGGGTTAACAGATTTCATATGGAACTAGGGTGAGACGGGGGAAATTTTTCTACAAACCTGAAGGAGGTCCCAGGTTTACAGCAAAATCTGAAATTTGAAAAAAAAACCATTGGAAGTCTAAAGCACCCCAAAATAATCGAAACAATGCCTGTAGCTTTAAGAAAAGAATGCCCACTTAGCTCTCAGTCGCCATATTAGAGTTAGCTAAGCAACCACAACAATATTGTTGAACCTTCCAAATGCTTGGTTTCTGTATAGCAAAGCCATGGGGGGGGGGGGGGGGGAGGGGGGGGGGGGGGTGAGCAGGGGTGGACTTGGAGGTCAAACAAGCCCAGGAAGGGTCCAACCCCCTTCCCCCATCATGTCCCCCAATGGAGGAGGGCTTTCTGAGGACATGCCTGGCAGCGACCACTGAAGACTCACTGCCCACACCACCGGGCCTAGACTGGTGACAACTACACAAATAGGCTCAACTTTTCCCAGGGAGAAGCTGCCTGTGGGAGGGAAGAAGACTGAACACAGAGGGCAGATAAAGGTAGGTTGGTGAGAAGGAGATAAAGATGCTGGAAAAGGGGACAATGGAGGCTGCCAGGGAAGAGAAAAAGGAAATAGTAGGGAAGTGGGGTACAGGAGAAAGTGAGATGCCCCCTCAAGACCATACTTGTCATTATATAAAGTGCGACATGAAATCCACACAGAACTGGTTTTAAAAATATGTTCATCTCACTTAAAGAAAGATGGCCGAGCAGATACATTTCAAATATTTTTATAACCCATACGTTCTGTTGCTCTAAAGCGCTCCATACCCTATGTGAATATACAGCCCCAATGTCAATTTTGTAAGGACATGTCTTCTGCATCTCTTTCTCCAGCTCCTGGGGGGTGTTGAAAGACTGGTACCGGACATAAATATCATCATGCAGTGTGAATGAGAACTCTCGCCGCTGAAAGTAATTCTTTGACACTGCAAAAAGAAAACAGAAGTTCACATCCTTAGCTATACTGTGCTACCCCCTGGGGCTGTCATTCCACTCTGGGCCCTCTCATTCCAGTCCCAGACCACTCCTAGTACATCCAGGGGCTGTCATTCCACTCCGGGACTTGTCATTCCAGTTCCAGAACCCTCCTGCTACACCCAGGGGATGTCATTCCACTTCGTGGACTCCGTGGTCCACTCCTACTACATTCAGGGACAGAATTGTGACTCAGGAAGCTGCTTTGTTGCTTTATCTGAAACGTTGCTTTTCTTGTGGAGAGTGCATTAAAATTATTT